CCTTTTACGACAAGTTATATGAATGGACTATTGGAAATCAGTGGTGACACCAGGTGTCAGCGAAAATGGTAAGCATGCCCTACCCTACCGGAAGCACGATTTGCATATAAAAGTAAGTATTTATTGTCCGACGCCGCGCAACAGTATCACACAGCACGGCGGCCTGTAAACACACCAGACAATAGTTACCTTCTTTACCAATGACCACACCATCGCCCTTCCTGGAAAACATGTACCCTGGTAGTTGCAGGGCATCAAATATAATCCGAAATGGGTATGGAAGTGATGATATTTCTCTTCACTGTCTCGTGCAGTGTTATTGGAATGATGGAATGATGACAATAGGTTGATGGTAAACGCTGGGATATCTCCATATTTGACAGGATTATGTTTGTTTGCTGTTTAACGCCGCACTCAGCAATATTCCAGATATATGACGGAGGTCTGTAAATAATCGAGTCTGGACCAAACAATACAATGATTGATACCATGAGCATCGAGTCACGCAATTGGGTGAGTGAGTGTGTGAGTATGGTTTAACGCCGCTTTTAGCAATATTCCAGCAATATCACGGCGGGGGACACCAAAAATGGGCTTCACTCATTGTATCCATGTCGGGAATCGAACCCGGGTCTTCGGTGTGACGAGCGAACGCTTTAACCACTAGGCTACCCGACCGCCCCCCACGCAATTGAGATCGATGACATGCATCAACCAAGTCATCGAGCCTGACCGACCGATCCCGTTAGCCGCCTCTTACGAGCATAGTCGCCTTTTATGGCAAGCCTGGGTTGCTGAAGACCTATTCTTTCCCGGATCTTCACGGATCGACAGGAGTGTGCCATGTATGATTGAGGACGCTGTTCTTTAATTCCAATTGTCTTCGTTGTGGCAATATTTTTACAACCTGAGATTTCAGCCGTTGGCCCTCCAAGGGATATTATCTTTGAAAATCGTTCCCCCATTCATAACGTCAACGTCAGGGGATAGTCAGTCTCGAGTATCTGCTGAAACAGATTCCACAGGGCATCACAGGCAAAATTGTGCTGAAGATTACATGACTTCAAATCAATGACACAAAGTGTCCGCGAAAAAGGTAAGCATGTCCGCGAAAAGGGTAAGCATGTCCGCGAAAAGGGTAAGCATATCCTGCTCTACCGGTAGCACCCGCTTTAGCGTTAAGCGTGCATCTTTTGTCTCGTCAACTGTTGGGGGCCAGGGTGGCCCAGTCGTCTAAGGCGCAGTAATTAGCTGTGCAGAGTTGCGGCAAACCAGAAACATATGATTGTGGGTTCGAATCCCGGTCCTTGGGCAAACCAGAAACATATGATTGTGGTTTCGAATCCCGGTTCGCCCCTATTATGTTTCTAGGCTTGTCAGCACCGTGCTCGTGGGTTTCACATAAGTTGTAAACGTCTGAGACCTGCATCACTTCGGGCTTTCCTCCCACCTTAAGCTGACACGCCGCGATACAACTGGAATACTGTTAAAAGCGGCGTTAAACCCAACTCACTCACTCATCAACTGTTGCCTCCATTACAACCTACTTGGCCATAAGGGTTAAGGTGTTAGCTTGTCACGCCGAAGAGCCGGGTTCGCTTCCCCAAAGGGGTACAATACGTGATGCTCATGGTGTACTTCGCCGTGATATTGCTGGAGTTTTGTTAAAGGCGACGTAAAATTATATTCACATACTTACCGATGGCAAACACATCAGCCTCATCTTGTGTTTGGAAAAACCTGCAGGTATCTGGTTTTGTGTTTGTTTACATTGCCCCAATAAATCTTTCCACTTTCCACACGTAAATATTTTGGTCGGGGTGCTCAAACTACTAAAACCATGAATAGTAACATCAATAGTGTAACATCAACACTGCATAGGTTTGATAATCATGATCAAACATATGATATAAACAAGAGTGAACTCTGCGATGAACTGCGAGAACACTGCAGGAGTCTCACCTGCGTGATACATATTCAATATGTTTATCATTAAAAACCTCAATTACTACTTTTTTCAGGTGAAGAATTGACTTTCCTGTTGGTTGGTTGGTTGGTTGTTTAACGCCGCACTCAGCAATATTCCAGCTATATGACGGCGGTCTGTAAATAATCGAGTCTGGACCAGACAATCCAGTGATTAATATCATGAGCATCGATCCACGCAATTGGGATCGATGACATGCATCAACCAAGTCAGTGAGCCTGACCACCCGATCCCGTTAGTCGCCTTTTACGACAAGCATAGTCACCTTTTAGGGCAAGGATGGGTTGCTGAAGACCTATTCTACCCCGTAGTAGTAGTAGTAGTAGTAGTAGTAGTAGTAGTAGTAGTAGTAGTAGTAGTAGTTGTAGTTGTAGTTATCTTGACGGCTTTATTTGACCGACTTCCGCAGGTTGTTTCAGCCTTCACAAACCTCAAATAATCATGACCTCAAACAACCAAATATTTCCTTCAAGAAAAAACAACATAACACATTGCTTCCAGGTATACGTCACGAGAAGCAACGTATATCGTTCCACCACATCTTGGAGAATAATACTTAGGTTTTGTCGTTGTTATGTTTGTATATTTCTTAATGTGTACAAATCGGCTTTTCGTGGGTCTAATCCTAGATTCTCCTTAATGATGATGACCGCCTCCGTGGTCTTGTGGTAGAGCGTCCGCCCGGAGAGCGGAAGGTCCAGGGTTCGATCCCGGGCCGCGTCATACCAAAAGACGTTAAAAGATTGTACTTGTTGTTACCCTGTCTGGCGCTCGGCATTAAGGGGCTAAAACAAGGACTGGTCGGCTCGGAGTCAGTATACTGTGTCTGAGTGGGGTATTCATGTTAAACTGCGGCATGGTATCTCAGTGAGCTAGCACTATAAATCAGCATCAGTCCGGACTAGTACAAGCAGCCACACACACACATACACGTGCATGCACGTCGCTATATAAGTGCAATAATCTTGGACGCGACGTTAAACCCAATTTCACCTCACCTCACCTTAATGATGATACCTTGTGCTTGGTGCATCAGCACCAGCACCTGCATCTCTCTACATCCCTCCCACTCAAGCCGACACGCTGTAAGATCACTGAAATAGTATCATATCGGCGTTAAACACAGCTCAGTCACTGACACACAGATATTAAATAACAGAACAACAAGTACCGTCGTATTTATAAAATTACTTTTAATTCATTACAAATCGAAATATAAGATCGTAAAAAATGGCCACATTGCCTTATTAATGACAATTTGCAAATGACGTTTTTAGTTTATCAGGTATAAAGTTGATAATATGTATCAGAAGCAATGTTGATCTTACGTTAACATTACATAGAGCTCCGTGAAGATAGTGCTAGAAGTGGTGTTCATCAAACCATGCTTGTCCACTAAAGGGATCGGGTGGTCAGGCTCGCTTACTTGGTTGATGCATGTCATGGTATCCCAATTGCGTTGGTCGATGCTCATGCATGGTGTCAGTCACTACATTCTCTGGTCCACACTCGATTAGTTACAGACCGCCGTCATACAGCTGGAATATTGCTCAGTGCGGCGCAAACAACAAACAACAAACAACAAACAAACACAGTACAGACGTAGTCTTTGGTTTGTGGTGCAGCGGCTTCGTTGATGGTCCAAACTACTAATGTACTGTAATATGCACAAACTATTCCATCGGAACACCGTATATAACATCCGTTATGCTAGTCCGATAAAATAAATTAATCGCTTCCCTTTGAAGTGTTCTACCAATAAAAAGATTATAAAAACCTGACAAGAGTTGCCCAAGCTCTCCCTTAGACTAGGCACCTGTCTACAAATTAATACCGCAGATTGGATTTGAGGGATTGCAACGCCAACGCTCCATTGTGTTTTACAAGGACGATATATCGAGGGGTTAGTGCCAGAACACATTATCTTGTAAAATATTAAAATTGACTTTATGACTTCCAAACAATTGTATGACCATATATAATCCTACGCCAAAATATCTATGTACTACATTGTATATCTTAAAAGATATTCAACAAGACATAAACATCTTATCACCTAACTCTGTTCTCGTGTTGCGCCAGGATGTTCTATACTAAAATACTACATGCTGGTATACACTACATTAAAGTTTTCACTCAATTCTATTAAGCCAGAAAAACGTATCGAGAATTGACACATTCTAGCACTCTGATATAGGCTTCAGACTCCTTTAATTGGAGAGCTGTAACAACTGATAAGCATTTGAGATGTGCTGGCTGTTTGTGTTTACGATTAGAGATATGAGAGATGATGTTAACTGGTGCTAGCCTTCTATGGCCCAGGATGTTTACATCTGATCCCCGGGCTATATTCCAGTCAGCTTATACTAGTGGTCATAAGTTGGTCCTGGCGTCGAAGATAAACCCGACTACACAAACGTCTTACAACGGAAATACCATAGTCCAAATTATTTCCATCAACATAAATACGTTTTAGGTAAGTAAACTGTAAATTGAATTAAATTATCTGTTATTTTACTAATTTTTGAAATTTGATCTCTTATATTGTTATAAAGTTACGACGCAACAACACGTCTGATGATTTATATAACCGATTTTTATGTTTAAGTCATTATCAAATCAGTGTTCGTTAACTTTTAGTGTGTTCTTGGTTGTTTTCAGATAATCGCATGGAAAAAAAATATTAATTTTGCTATAAAATAGTATGTAAATGACATGGGTGAGACTTGTGTTTTTAACATAAACATCTTTCATAAACACAAGTAAAGTTTACATAAGAGTATATATATGATACATGAAGTTAGATTGTAAATTGAGAAATAATGTCACATACACAAATATCTCAAGACCAGTGCTATGTATTGTTTTCTTTTGTTTTTTGTTTTCTTTCTATAGGCATTGGAAAATGAGTGAGTTTGATTCTGACTTCGAAGATCAAGACATTTTGGAAGCTTGCAATATTATCGAGAACAATCAGATATTACACCATAATGTGCCACAACCACCCACCAACATGGAACCAAATCCGCTACCAACCACTGACAATGCAGATCCACTGACGGCAACCAACATGGAACCAAATCCGCTACTAACCACAGACAACCCAGATCCATTGACGGCAACGAGCATGGATGCTAATCAGCTACCAACCACTGACAATGCAGATCCACTGACGGCAACCAACATGGAACCAAATCCGCTACTAACCACAGACAACCCAGATCCATTGATGGCAACGAGCATGGATGCTAATCAGCTTCCAACCACTGACAACGCAGATCCATTGATGACAACGAGCATGGATGCTAATCAGCTTCCACCCACTGACAACGCAGATCCATTGATGGCAACGAGCATGGATGCTAATCAGCTTCCAACCACTGACAACACAGATCCATTGACGGCAACCAGCATGGATGTTAATCAGCTACCAACCATTCACAACCCAGATCCTTTGTCAGCAACCAGCATGGAACCGAATCCGCTACCAACCAGTGACAACGCAGATCCATTGACGGCAACCAACATGGATAGTAATCAGCTACCAACCACTGACAACGCAGATCCATTGCCGGCAACCAACATGGAACCGAATCAGCTACCAACAACTGACAACCCAGATCAATTGACGGCAACGAGCATGCAACCAACCACTGACAACCTAGGTCCATTGGCAGCAACCGACATGGAAACTGATCAGTACCAACCACTGACAATCTAGGTCCATTGGCGGCAACCAACATGGAAGCTGATCAGCTACCAACAACTGACAACATAGATCCATTGGCGGCAACCAACATGGATGCTAATCAGCTACCAACCACTGACAATCCAGATCCATTAACGGCAACCAGCATGGAAGCTCATCATCTACCAACCACTGACAACCTAGGTCCATTGGCGGCAACAAACATGGAAGCTAATCAATTACCAACCACTGACAGCGCAGATCCATTGACGGCAACCAACATGGCAACTGATCAGCTACCAACCACTGACAGCGCAGATCAATTGACGGCAACCAACATGGATGCTAATCAGGTACAAACTACTGACAACCCAGATCCTTTGTCGGCAACGCATATGAAGGCCCCTCAAGACTACATAGAGCCACTTCCCAGTAATACCAGTGAGGGAGGAAATGAAAATGAATTTGACAGCTTTGATGACGAACCTTTAATTCATTTGGGGAAATATAGACATACACATGTTGAAAGTAGCATCGAAACATCATCAGAAGAGTACCTTCCGAATGAAGAAGATTTATGCTCGTCTGACATCACTAAATCGGAAACAGAATTGCCAATACCAAATCAGAGAATATTGTTCATAGCAAATTTCATGAAAGGTCAAGTGGGAAATTGGAGGAAACTGTTGTTCTGAAGACATTACATGAAAGTCATACCAACTACATGTATGAATCTAAAATGAAAAAGTTTCACACGGAGAGATTAGAACAACGTCTGCATTGTAATGGATACAAGTTACTGAAGGTACCGGCTGATGGAAATTGCTTTTTTAAGGCTTCTGCACTTCAACTTAATTTGAGTGAATGTGAACTGAGGAAACAAATGTGTGATCATCTTGATGATAATATCATCACTTATTCCGATTTTTATGCTGAAGTGGAGGAAAACAACCTGGAAACATGACAAAGTTATTCACTGGAAGTGGAACATCTTCGCAGGAATGGATATTTCACCAATAAGGTTGCTGATTTCCTGCCATTAGCACTTGCTAACTGGTCAGGTCGTGGTGTCCGTATTTTCTCCAGCAAGGCATCAACTCCTGTAATCGATGTCCAACCTACAATTCGTCAACAATGCACTGAGAGAAGAATAACCCTCGCATTTACATCCATAAAAGGTATTGAAGATCATTATGATGCATGCACACCACTGGCTAACCATTTGTCAAACACAATGATAGAACATAACATCACTAACATGAAACAATAGAAGCAGGTGCTTCTAGGGCTACCTGTCCTGGAACGTCCACATCAGCTGCAAGTTGTCTCCAATCCATTAGCATCTCTGATTGATGTTTCTTGTCCTGCTGTAAATGAACGCAACCATGTAATGCCAGAAGGTCCTGTGATCAGTTCAAATACTTCAAGTCCAGTTCCAGTATCTTCACAGCATGGTGACGACACAGTGTCATCAGGTAATACAGCATCAACCCCAAACAAACAGAACCCATCTCGATCTGCAACTCCAAGAAAGTCGTCAGCCTTCCATACACCTAGAAAGGTGCTGTTTAGAAAGAGACGTGCGACGCCCGAGACATGGTTACAAAATCAAAGGAAACAGTTGAGATTAGGCGGAATGGAATATGTAAACCAGCAAGGGAAGACCATGAAAGGAAAATCGGTTAAAGCAGTCGACTGCTCAAAATGTAGATATACGTGCTCCCAGAAGATCCCCGAAGAAGCTCGACACAGTATATTTAAATCATTTAGAAGCTTGACATCATATGAAAGGCAAAAGGATTTTTTTTGTTCGAACACTGATGAAAAGAAAACCCGTACATACCTGGATGACAGTGAAAAAAAGGTGGAAAAGAAACGCCAAGTCTATCGGGCATTTAATCTACAGTGGGAAGGAACAAGACATCTTGTTTGCAAGAAGTTTTTCATGAAGACTCTTGACATTGGGGAGTCATACATCAGCCATGCCTTACAGTACAAGAGCAAGAGAACCTTTGGGAGCACAGAACGTCGCGGTAGACATAAGCCACACAATAAAACTGCCAGTGATCGCTTGACAAAAGTGAGAGAACACATTAAGTCATTTCCTAAGATGGATGCCCACTACACAAGAAAAGATACAAACAGGCAATTTTTAGGACCAGAATTGAATATTAAAAAGATGTATGAACTTTATAAGGAAAGGTGTGCTGCAGACAACAAAGAACCAGTGTCCTCATCACTCTACAGAAACGACTTCAATAAAGAATATAATGTTTCTTTCCATGTACCAAAGAAGGACCAGTGTTCGCTTTGTCAGCAATATTACAGAGAAAGAGACACTGGTTGCCTGACAGAACAATTAACAAAGGATTTCAATGAACACCAAGCCAGAAAAATCAGAGCTTGAGAGGCAAAGATTAAGGACAAAGCACTTGCCTTGACAGAGCCCTCTGTCTTTGTTGGAACATTTGACCTTGAGGCAGTATTGTACACGCCATGTTGACTAGTTAGCGAAATTTTATATATGAGAAAACTGAACTGTTATAATTTCACAGTGCATGATGCTGTTCACAAGAGCGGTACATGTTTTCTGTGGTCAGAGGTTGATGCCCAGAGAGGTTCATGCGAAATTGCATCATGTTTACAAATACAGTTGAAAGCAATGCCTCCTAACATCAAACATGTTATCCTGTATTCAGATACATGCACAGGGCAGAATAGGAACCAATATGTTGCTGCTTCCCTACTTCATGCTGTCACTACCACTGACCACATTGATGTCATTGACCATAAGTTCTTGGAGTCAGGACACACCCAAATGGAGTGCGATGCAATTCACTCCAGTATTGAATTCGCCAAAAAGAAGACAAGTATTTTTGTCCCCAGCCAGTGGGATACTGTTATCAGAATGGCAAGAAGGAAGGACCCCTATCTCGTTATTCCAATCAAACACACGGATGTAATGGACTTCAAGAAAGTGGCACATCAAAGACTGAAAAATACTAAAGTGGACACGGATGGTGGTAGAGTTAACAGGCTAAATGTTCGCTGGCTGCGGTTTATGAAGACTAGCCCTGACAGCGTTTACTTCAAAACTGAACACAATGATGAGCAGTTCTGAGAAATCAAGGTTACAGCAGGCAGTAGACGAGGTAGTCCTCTGACCACAACCAACTCCCTGACTTGTAGGTACACTGGGAAGCAAGAAATATCACATGCGAAGAAGAAAGACTTGTTATCTCTTTGTAGATCTGGCATTATTCAAAGCGAACATCATGAGTACTACAAAGCTCTCCCAACAGGTAACAGATCTGATTGTCTACCGGGACCAGATGCTATGGAGGAAGACTATGACACAGACATTGCATAATATGATGTGTGACTGTGGTGCTGTGTTCATTATCGCACTAATGTAGCTATGTGTGCGTACGCGAGTGCGTGCGTAAGTGCGTGTGATTGTACTAGTCCGGACTAATGACAATGTTATAGTGCCAGCCCGCTGAGATACTATGCCGCAGTTAAACATGAATACCCGACTCAGATTTGTGGAAGTCTGACATTGCTGAAATGCTGATCCTGGATATATTATATCTGACAAGTTCCTGCATTATTAATTTCACAACAATCGCGTGAATGATCAAGCTAAGAATTCCATTTCTGTTAGGAACGTAACATCATTGTAACCACATTAAAATGTCTTATGACAGCTAGGTTGGATATCCGAATACAATCTGAGGTAATTGATCTTAAGAATAGCAGTATTTGTATGTTCATAAATTGACTTTGAATGAAGCTGATCTGGAAAAAGTATTTTTTTTTTTTTTAATACTGCGAGTTATGTCACCATTTTGAAAATTGAACGTTGGGTACAGATCTGTCTATCTATTTATCTATCACTCTGTACATATTATATACTGGTATATAGATAATAAGCTTAATATGTACCCACTGTTATATAAATGAATATATATTTACATAAACAAATAATTGTTCAAAGGTTTTAAAAGGATCTTCTATTCATCTATAATTTATAGAATAACGTTTCTCCGTTAACTTTGTGTGAACACATTTCCACTCATTAGCATCACAGCCTGACATTAACTTAATTTTGCAGACTATTTAGCTATTTAGTTTTGAAACAAACAATGCAATGTAAATGTACAGCATTTAATAAAATGAACAATGTTTGGTTAAGGCAACACTGACATTACTTTAGTTCTTTTAGGCAATGCCAGATAATGGTTAAAGCTGGTAAGTGATTATAACCACGTGTTTGAAGCAAGCGATGCTTTAGAGTGTCAGCTTACACCAGGATAATGGTATCAGCCTGTATGTCACGCAGACTCTGTGGTTGAGCCGTTACCAGCTGTCGGGAGATAAGCTGTTATTGCTATTAATTGGCTTGCTCATTGAGAAAGCTTCTGAAGCATAAACGTATGTCCTGTGTTTGGGGTAATTTGACGCAAGCGGAAATGTTATCATTTATCAGGGCCACAATGTATCACTTCTGTTTACAAGGATCTGGGCCTCACATTTCCCCTTTCCTGTATAATGTTTATGCTGCCAGATGGAGCTTTTTAGCACCATTTCAAACTTTTGAAGTGGGATTTCTCACATCTAGGGAAAATGGAGATAGGTGGTTCTGGCACTAACCCCTCGCTATATATGTATGTTTCAATGGAGTATAACCTACGCCGAGTCTTTTTTTAACTCCGGTACAAGTAACAGGTTACCGACTTGCGAAAACACGCAGATGGATGATGGTACAAGGGAGATAACTGCTGAAAGTAAATGCGACACGGCTTGTGCACCAAGGAAACGTTGAGTTGGTTGGTTGGTTTTTTGTTTAACGCCGCACTCAGCAATATTCCAGCTATATGATGGCGGTCTGTAAATAATCGAGTCTGGACCAGACAATCCAGTGATTGATATCATGAGCATCGATCCACGCAATTGGGATTGATGACATGTATCAACCAAGTCAGCGAGCCTGACCACCCGATCCCGTTAGTCGCCTTTTACGACAAGCATAGTCGCCTTTTACGGCAAGCATGGGTTGCTGAAGACCTATTCTACCCCGGAATCTTCACGGGTCAGGAAACGTTGAGCGTTCAGATACCGTTGAACCTTTATAGCGAATTCTATTCATTCATTTTTTTCAGTTTCACTGAGAGGACATCGGTTGTACATATTAAACACATTTTACTTACTTGCCGATATAAAATTAGCAATTTATCAACGAAGAAATTTAAGTGAACTTTCACTGTTCTAGCCCTTGAGAAATTCGGTCAGAATAGGTCTCCCATAAACACAGCCAGTCGCAGCTTGGAGAAATTAAAATACATTAATTGTATGTGCAAAAGTGTTGCAGTACATTGTTTTCTTAAACAAATAATACAACGCTTATCAAAAAGGCGAAACACAGGCAGTCTAGTACATTACTCGTATCTAAAACAGAGATGTCACAAAGATATCCTACCATATTCTGGACATCACGCCATGTTTGTTTGTTTGTTGTTTACAACAACATGGGTCTTCACAACAACATGGTTCTTCAGCAACCCATTCTTGCCGTAAAAGACAACTATGCTTGTCGTAAAAGGCGACTAACGGGATCGGGTGGTCAGTCTCGCTGACTTGGTTGGTGCATGTCATCGATCCCAATTGCGTGGATTGATGTTCATGATGTAAATCACTGGATTGTCTGGTCCAGATTTCGATTTTTTACAGACCGTCGTCATATAGCTGGAATATTGCCGTCGTCTTAGGCGCTGAAAGTATCTGTGCAGAGTTGCGCCCCTTGGGAACGCCAGAAACTTATGATCATGGGTTCGTCCCGATTATGTTTCTAGGTTTGTCAGCACCAACTACTGTGAGCGCTTTTGGCATGAACCATACGCGTGTATAAATACAGAAACTGTTTATCCCTCCAGTGTGGTGGCAAACAGGATAAACCTTAAAAAGAATACCTAATTTATTTCCTTGAACACAAGATTTTGTCAAACTCGGCCATGCTGTTGTGAGAACGGTGGTTCTGTCTGTACACAGAGTACAGTTACTTCAGATACCCATCGTTCCCGGATATTATGTATTATATGCCGAACTGATCGAATGCCAATGTGAAGTCCAATGTTGTAAAGAAAAGGTATAAGAAGCGTCAGTAAAATCTATAGTCTACTACGCCGTTCACATGTTTGTTTGTTGTTTAACGCCGGCATATTCAAGAAAAATGACGGCGGTCTTCAAATAATCGAGGCTGGACCGTTCACATGTACATTATAGGTGGAAGTAGTTGTGTGTAGTAGCCGCAGCAGTAGCAGCAGCAAAGGTATCAGTAGCAGTAGCAGTATCGATTAAGAGTGGACTCAGGCCAAAGGAAGTCATATTTGCGCAAAACTCAACGCCAGGGTTTACATGCTTGCCTAAAACACGTTCATGTAATGACATGTACAGCAAGAAAGGAAATAAACAATCTTCAACAAATGGATTTAAGATGGATGTCGCCTTTTTAATGGGTTGTCTAACCCTTGTTCAACTGTGCAAATGATGTTTTAATTTGATGAAATGACCAGTTGTGAAAGTTTGTTTCAAGGATGTTGTGCTTCCAAGAATGGTTTAAGTGATCATATGAGACATGTTACATTAACATTATATACATGGTCTTTGAAATGACGTGTAACGTTCCTGTGTACACCCCGACACCCTCATTCCACCCCGACCCGTGAAGATCCTGGGTAGAATAGGTCTGCAGCAACCCATGCTTGCCGTAAAGGGCGACTATGCTTGTCGTAAGAGGCCACTAACGGTATCGGGTGGTAAGGCTCGCTGACTTGGTTTGATGATGCATGTCATCGTATCCTAATTGCGTGCATCAATGCTCATGATGTCAATCACTGGATTGTCTGGTCCAGACTCAATTATTTACAGTCCGCTGTCATATAGCTGGAATAATGCTGAGTGCGACGTTAAACAACAAACAAAACAAACAAAGTGATGATTCTTTCGGAGTCCTACCACTGTCGTGGTCGGTGTCACACCAGTGAAGTCACGACGGTCATGGCGCTGGAGATCGCTGTGTGAAACAAAGTCCACGAGATTGCAGCAAGTTCCCGTGGAAGTGGGCTTCTAGCCGTTGTATCTTGATCGCCATGCACGATACACAACAAGAGTAGCACGTGCGCTCACTGAGCATGTCTTGTTGGCTGCGGACTTGGGTGAGCCTGTCATTGATTTCATTTTGTTGTTAACTTTTTAGTTCTTGAAGAAGTCATTTCTTCCATATCAGTGAGTTGGAATTAGTGCGTTCAAAGAAAGAACGCAAAATATAAATGGATTGCAATATTGAATTCACCCCCGCCAACCCCAGATAAGGGTTTCAATCATTTGATTTTCACCTCATTTTCAAACACCAGGCCACGCCCCCACTGAACATTCAAATGGTTTCTCCCCAGGTCAGTTAAATCGTATATCAAGGTGATGATTTAAATACATCCTCACACGGGACCATGTTTGCTTTATACATGACGAATTTTGTATATGGATCCGTAGATACTATACGATTTGTTTGTTTGTTTGTTTGTTTGTTTGTTTGTTTGTTTGTTTGTTTGTTTGTTTGTTTGCAAGTTGTTTAACGCCTCACTCAGCAATATTACAGCTATATGCCGACGGTATATAAATAATCGAATCTGGACCAGACAATCCGGTGATTGATATGAGGATCGATCTATGTATGCAGTTGGAATACGATGACATGCATCAACCAAGTCTTGACCACCCTATCCCGTCAGTCGCCTCTTATGGCAAGCATAGCATAGCAAGCATAGCATTTTACGGCTGGTTGGTTGTCTTTTTGTTTTACGCCGCACTCAGCAATATTCCGGCTATATGACGGCGGTCTGTAAGTAATCGAGTCTGGACGAGACAATCCAGTGATTGATATCATGAGCAACGATCCACGCAATTGGGATCGATGACATGCATCAACCAAGTCAGCGAGCCTGACCGCCCGATACCGTTAGTCGTCTCTTACGACAAGCATAGTCGCCTTTTACGGCAAGCATGGGTTCCTGAAGACCTATTCTACCCCGGATCTTCACGGGTCACCTTTTACGGCAAGGATGGGTTGCTGAATACCAGTTCTACCCCGGATCTTTACGGGTCGATATTGTACGAAACTGAAGATATCTACTTATGGAAGAATACTTTTACAACATATCCAAGCAATCGGTTGTTTTCAGTCCTCGCCTAGAATAATAGGAATATCCATATCATCAAAGATGAGTACAACATTGATCAAATGTATTCATCAGTGCAGCCGCCAAGTCGCATCACCTGACATGGTCCTGATAAGGGGCGGTCGGGTAGCCTAGTGGTTAAAGCGTTCGCTCGTCACGCCGAAGACCCGGGTTCGATTCCTGACATGGGTACAATGTGTGAAGCCCATTTCTGGTGTCCCCCGCCGTGATATTGCTGGGATATTGCTAAAAGCGGCTTAAAACCATACTCACTCACTCGTCCTGATAAACGCCGCCATGCTTATAAGCATACAATCTTCAGGGGAGGACTGGGCCCAGTCGTTTCCGTTGCCGCACTTTCCTGTGCAGAGTTGCGTCCCTTAGAGTGCAAGAAACAAGAAACCTATGATCGTGGGTTCGAATCTCGGTTCGCCCTGATTATGTCTCTTGGGTTGTCAGCACCATCCCCGTGCTCGTGGGTTTTACCAAAGTGATAAAAATCTGAGATCGTCTTTCTTCCCACATAAAGATGACACGCCGTGATGTAACTGGAATTACCGTTGAAACTCACTCACTCACTTCGTTTCATCACTTCGGGCTTGTTTCTCGGTTTGCCAACATCATCCTCGTGCTCAATGGTTTCACCAAAGGGTTAAACGGCACGCACGCACGCGCACGCACACACACACACACACACACACATAATTTTTTCACATATTTATACATACACACAAAATGTTACGATGAGCTAGTTCTTATACGATAACTATCATCTTCCCGAGGCAAGAGCGCCCACTTACTTTTTTATCAAAGTTTTACAAAATCAACATCCACGACTGGTTCATATTCGCAACGATCGCCATCGTTGTGAAGCCATACGAGAAAAGAACAGCGATCTGATAGGATATCGCGTTTTCATTACAAGGGGCACAACTCGTGATCTACGCGTGGTGGCGCAAGAGTCGAGCCAAGAAAAGTGGCCTTGATGTGGCAAGGGTAGAAACTAGGCCACCCGTGTTGATCCGGGTCGCCTTAAAAAGCGACTACGCTTGTCGTAAGAGGCGACTAACGGGATCGGGTGGTCAGGTTGGTGCCTGTCATCGTATCCCAATGGCTTGGATCGATGCTCATGATGTCAATCACTGGGTTGCCTGGTCCAGACTCGATTACTTACAGACCGCCATCAAATAGATGGACTATTGCTGAGCGTGGCGTTAAAGAACAATCAAACAAACAAGAAAACGGCTTTGATATAGGCTAGTGGACACGTTTGCCTCGGGAACATGGATAACTAAAGACAAAAGTGAGTTTTGCTTTAACGCTGAAGTGATTCAGGTCTTTGAGGTTTACTACTTTTGTGAAACCCTTATGTACAGGTATGATATGTCCAAGGATTATAACAATATATTGTCGTCACTTTGACTAACGGGCGGTCGGGTAGCCTAGTGGTTAAACCGTTCGCTCGTCACGCCGAAGACCCGGGTTCGATTCCCGACATGGGTACAATGTGTGAAGCCCATTTCTGGTGTCCCCCGCCGTGATATTGCTAGAATATTGCTAAAAGCGGCGTAAAACCACACTCACTCTCTCTCTCTCTCTCACTTTGACTAACCCGAGTCTGTTGTTTTCAGAAAGGTCCATGTACCGTGTGACGCTGTCAAGATCGTGCGGACATCATGCAGTATCTGCTTCTGATCGGCGCCATCCTCGTCCTCCTCATCATCCTCTTCATCGTCATCTTTCTCATTATCCGGGAACTCCTTCAAAGAAATCACCGGCAGCGTTCCCAGCGCCATGTTGGATTTCGCATGATCAGAAACCAGGCAGAATTTGACGAATTCCGACGCGGGATCTACGTGCCGAGAGCTCCTATTGTTCGCACGACTCCGGATTCGGGGATAGACGAGGCGGATACGACCCCGAGCAGCGGCGACGTTTATCAATGGTCGGCCTCATCTGGAGGCTCCGCATCCGTCCAGTCGCCGTTCGGAGAGGCGTCCTTGGATATGTCACGTCGACTTAAAACTGTCTCATTCGCAGACAGCATTAACTTCTCCCATGTTGATTACGATCAGCCCTGTGACAGCCTGCCAGGTCTGAGTGATATTGGAAAGTCGCGTGATACAGCAGAACCTAAACTGATGTCATATACAAGCGCAGCGCACAGCTTCCGGCAGCATGTCCCGAAAGCAAAACCAGTCAAACCTGTGCGTCGCACCCTTCCTGACAAGAACCCAGTCATGCAGGAGAGTCCCAAGAACGATGGGCCGGAAGAGACTATTCCCGAGTCTGATGGCCCAGTTACGTCATTATAACTCACAAGCGTGAAATAAATGCTTTATACTAAACGCTTTGAAGATTGTTGGCACTGATCGTTCAATTACTTTCTTTTAATCGAGAGAGTTAATGTTGTTGTTTTTAACGGCGCAGTCGGTAATAACCCATACTTATCGTAAGAGGCGACCAACGGGATCGGGTGGTCATGCTCGCTGACTTGGTTGATGTATGTCATCGTATCCAATTTACGTATATCGATGTTCATGATGTCAATCACAGGACTGTCTGGTCCAGACTCTATTATTTACATACCGCCATCATGTATCACTGGATTGTCTTGTCCGGACTCGATTATTAACAGACCGCCGTCGTATAGCTGGAATATTGCTGAGTGTGGCGTTAAACAACAAACTCACTCCCTCTCCCATGTTGCTCTCCGGGCGGACGCTCTACCACCAGACCACAGAGGCGGTCTTTTGTAGGTAGTGGTGCTTCACACATGAGGTATAGTGCTTGCCGTATAATGTCTCGTCTGTGTAGCTTTAACATACCACTCACCCATTTGAACACAATGTTCAAGATCGCCGCGAGACATGCTCATCTTGATTGGTTGTTTAACGCCGCACTCAAGGGACGCAACTCTGAAAACTCGGCCACCCACCCAACCCATTAATAATGAATCTGACATTTGTCAGTCTGAAACACCAAACTTGGTTGGTTTGGTTTGTTGTTTAACGCCGCACTCAGCAATATTCCAGCTATATGACGGCGGTCTGTAAATAATCGGGTCTGGACCAGACAATCCAGTGATTAATATCATGAGCATCGATCCACACAATGCAGCACCTTGGATTTGGTTGGTTGGTTGGTTTGTTGTTTAACGCCGCACTCAGCAATATTCCAGCTATATGACGGTGGTCTGTAAATAATCGAGTCTGGACCTGACAATCCAGTGATTAATATCATGAGCATCGATCCACACAATGCAGCACCTTGGATTTGGTTGGTTGGTTGGTTTGTTGTTTAACGCCGCACTCAGCAATATTCCAGCTATATGACGGCGGTCTGTAAATAATCGAGTCTGGACCTGACAATCCAGTGATTAATATCATGAGCATCGATCCACACAATGCAGCATCTTGGATTTGGTTGGTTGGTTGGTTTGTTGTTTAACGCCGCACTCAGCAATATTCCAGCTACATGACGGCGGTCTGTAAATAATCGAGTCTGGACCAGACAATCGGGTGATTAATATCATGAGCATTGATCCACGCAATTGGGATCAATGACATGGATCAACTAAGTCAGCGAGCCTGACCACCCGATCCCGTTAGTCGCCTTTTACGACAAGCAAAGTCACCTTTTACGGCAAGCATGGGTTGCTGAAGACCTATTCTACCCCGGAATCTTCACGGGTCTCAGCATCTTGGAGCAGCCATAGACATGTCAGTGTTCCCAGCATCTGCATCTGAAGTGGCTATGCCGGCTCATAGTGCTTCAATTTGTCACTCGGGAATGGTCAACGCTCCTGGTTCCCTGCCATATAGCGACACTTGCAGTGCCGTTTTTTGTTCTTATAAGTCTGTTAACCTACTCTGCTTTAAGGTCAAGACATGAATTACGGATTGTGAACATATACTTGTAAATGAACTAAAATTAAACAAATCCCACGTGTATTACAAAGCGCAAGACAGGCACACCTGAAGCTATGTGTGTCATGAGGTGAGGTGAAATGGGGTTTCAAGATTATTGGACTTACAGTCGCTCAGGCTCCAAATGAGAACGATGAATATCAAAATAACTCAAAATCCGAAATAGTCTATTAACTGTCAATACGGTACACGGCAATGAATATCCTGTTCAAAACAATATCTGCTGTCTCCATCACTGGAAAAAGTTGTTTAAGAAACTATCATATTGTAATGTGTACGGGGCACGGGTGGCCCAGTCGTCTAAAGCGCCGCGATTCGCTGTGCAGAGTTGCGTCCCTTGGACACGCCAGAAACCTATGATTGTGGGTTCGAATCCCGGTTCGCACTGATTATGTCTCTAGGTTGGTCAGCACCATACCCGTGCTCGTGGGTTTCACCAAAGTGGTAAACGTCTGAGACCTGCATCACTTCGGGCTTTCCTCCCACATTAAGCTGACACGCCGTGATAGAACTCGAATACTGTTAAAAGCGGCGTTAAACCCAACTCACTCACTCACTGTTATGTGTACAAGTTGACACGGAGGGGGGCACAACGGTAGGAGGAACAGCGCAAACACGTATTTAAAGTTATTTTTGCATTGCATCGTACTCGTTTGGAGCCAAGCGGACGGTACACGGTGAGCTGCGTTCACTAGTGCGAATCAAAGAAAAGGTGTCCACGGTCCATAAGACTTGTAAGAGACCATGTAAACTGGCGCGGGGTCACTGCCATTACTCACGGTTTGCTACGCCCTATATCGCTGTGCCACCCGTGCCTACCTGTCGCATAAGAGTGAGTGAGTTGGGTTTAACACCGCCTTTAACAGTTTTCTAGTTATATTACGGCGTGTAAACTTAATGTGGGGGGAGTGAGTGAATGAGTATGGTTTAACGCCGCTTTACGCAATATGTGAATGATATGGACCATATCCAACTTAAAACAAAGTCGCCGTAAAGTGCGGGGTTGACTATTAGAGGTTGTTCTCCAAACATGGAAAAGAAAGGAACAGAGCGCGCAAACACAACAATGGCCGGACAAAACTATTGGAGGTTAAAATGTTTAAAAGTGCTGGAGGTGCACGTGCGTTGGTATTGTGAACGAAACATTCGTAAGATTGGGTGAAACTTGTTCATGATGATTTTTCTTTTGAAGAAGCAGTGTATCCGATTTTTTATTTAAGTAAGAGTGATCTATTGAAAGTTGATTTCTGTGGAAGTTCATTGAGGCACCACAAAGAGTTGATGAATCTTTAAATAAAGAGATTTTGAAAAAAGCTCTCCTGAGGAAAGTTGTCTGTTTGTCTGTCTTTCCGTCTGTGTTTGTATCTATCGGGACACGGGTGGCCCATTCGTCTATAAGGCGCCGCAATTCTCTGAGCAAAGTTGCGTCCCTTGGGCACGCCAGAAACCTATGATCCTGGGTTTGAATCCTGGTTCGCCCTAATTGTATTTCTAGGTTTGGCCGCATCATACCCGTGCTCGTGGGTTTCACCGAAGTGGTAAACGTCTGAGACCTGCACCACTTCGGGCTTTCTTCCCACATTAAGAAAAGGAACTCGATGATAGCGTGTATAACATAATATATTCGTAAAGAAAAAAATCACACCCCTCTATATACATATATTGTCTATATGTATCTAGAGGGGTGTGTTTGTTTTCTCTATACCATTACATTATGTTATAAACGCTATCATCGAGTTCCTGTGACATTAAGCTGACACGCCGTTGTATAACTGGAAGAAGGTTAAAAGCGGCGTTACACCCAACTCACTCACTCACTTTCTGTCTGTGTTTGTATCTATCGGGACACGGGTGGCCGATTCGCCTAAGGCGCCGTAATTCGCTCAGCGTTGTGTGTCGGGGTACGTGTGATGCTTGCGGTGCGTTGTGTGTCGGGGTACGTGTGATGCTTGCGGTGCGTTGTGTGTCGGGTTACGTGTGATGCTTGCGGTGCGTTGTGTGTCGGGTTACGTGTGATGCTTGCGGTGCGTTGTGTGTCGGGTTACGTGTGATGCTTGCGGTGCGTTGTGTGTCGGGTTACGTGTGATGCTTGCGGTGCGTTGTGTATCAGGTTACGTGTGATGCATGCGGTACTTTGTGTCACGGGTTATGTGTGGTGCTTGCGGTGCGTTGTGTGTCGGGTTACGTGTGATACTTGCGGTGCGTTGTGTATCGGGTTACGTGTGATGCTTGCCATGCGTTGTGTATGAGGTTACGTGTGATGCATGCGGTACTTTGTGTCACGGGTTACGTGTGATGTTGCGGTGCGTTGTGTGTCGGGGTACGTGTGATGCTTGCGGTATGTTGTGTGTTGGGTTATGTGTGATGCCCGCGGTGCGTTGTGTCCTGGGTTACGTGTGATGCTTGCCGTGCGTTGTGTTTCGGGTTACATGTGGTGCTTGCGGTGCGTGTCGGATTACGTGTGATGCCTACGGTGCGTTGTGTCCTGGGTTACGTGTGATGCTTGCGGAACGTTGTGTCCCGGGTTACGTGTGATGCTTACCGTGCGTTGTGTTTCGGGTTTCGTGTGATGCTTGCGGTGCGTTGTGTCCCGGGTTACGTGTTATGCTTACCGTGCGTTGTGTATCGGGTTTCGTGTGCTGCTTGCGGTGCGTTGTGTATCGGGTTACGTTTGATGCTTGCGATCCGTTGTGTGTCGGATTACGTGTGATGCTTACCGTAAGTTGTGTATCGGGTTATGTGTGATGCTTGCGGAGCGTTGTGTCCCGGGTTACGTGTGATGCTTACCGTGCGTTGTGTATCGGGTTACGTGTGATGCATGCGGGGCGTTGTGTATCGGGTTACGTGTGATGCTTGCGGAGCGTTGTGTTTCGGGTTACGTGTGATGCTTGCGGAGCGTTGTGTATCGGGTTTCGTGTGATGCTTGCGGTGCGTTGTCTATCGGGTTTCGTGTGATGCTTGCGGTGCGTTGTGTATCGGGTTTCGTGTGATGCTTGCGGTGCGTTGTGTATCGGGTTTCGTGTGATGCTTGCGGTGCGTTGTCTATCGGGTTTCGTGTGATGCTTGCGGTGCGTTGTGTATCGGGTTTCGTGTGATGCTTGCGGTGCGTTGTGTATCGGGTTTCGTGTGATGCTTGCGGTGCGTTGTGTATCGGGTTTCGTGTGATGCTTGCGGTGCGTTGTCTATCGGGTTTCGTGTGATGCTTGCGGTGCGTTGTGTATCGGGTTTCGTGTGATGCTTGCGGTGCGTTGTCTATCGGGTTTCGTGTGATGCTTGCGGTGCGTTGTGTATCGGGTTTCGTGTGATGCTTGCGGTGCGTTGTCTATCGGGTTTCGTGTGATGCTTGCGGTGCGTTGTGTATCGGGTTTCGTGTGATGCTTGCGGTGCGATGTGTATCGGGTTACATGCGATGCTTGCGGAGCGTTGTGTCCCGGGTTACATGTGATGCTTGCAGAGCGTTGTGTCAGGGGTTACGTGTCATGCTTACCGTGCGTCGTGTGTCGGGTTTCGTGTGATGCTTGCGGTACGTTGTGTATCGGGTTATGTGTGATGCTTGTGGTGCGTTGTGTCAGGGGTTACATGTGATGCTTGTTCAACTAGATAGGATTTCCCCAATGTGTCACCGTATCATTTTCATTATCAATGAAACAATCAACCCGATTTTCAAGCAAATTCATTGCCGAGCATTATTAAATATTGGCTTGCAGTGTGCACAACCACCAGTAGCTGAAGTGATCCAGCACAGAGCTGAGACTCCGTAAGTCCCCATGCTCCCCAGCGAAGCGGCTGCTTGTTGCTTTTGGTCTTGTTTCAAACAGTAAATTGTATATGGCATTGCTGTATCTCCGGGGTATCACCTAGCATCCTCATGTGTGATGACGTTAGCTCGTTGTCTGAGCATGTCCTTGTCAGCTTGGAACAGACTAATCTTTCTTTTCAAATCTTTATCCGAAAATCTTTAAGTGCTGCCTATCTCCGGCCCGGCCCTTCTCATTGCCATCCCATTGGATTGAAAATCATCACTGCCCACTGGCTTTTCTTCTGTTATTATTTTGCCAAGGCTTTCCAAAACGTTTGGTATTTTGATCAATTTATTTCTATCTGCTGAGAAGCATGTATCAGTTCATCAAGAACTATCAGCAGTTGCTCGTCCGAGGAACAGTGTATCCACATGATTTGTATCACCTTGCGGAGTAATATCAAAATCAATACACATTCATTTAAAAGTGACCCGTGAAGATCCGGAGTAGAATAGGTCTTCAGCAACCCATGCTTGCAGTAAAAGGCGACTAACGGGATCGGGTGGTCAGGCTCGCTGACTTGGTTGATGCAAGTCATCGATCCCAATTGCGTGGATCGATGCTCATGATGTCACTCATCGTCGTCATATAGCTGGAATATTGCTGAGTGTGGCGTAAAACCAACCAACCAAACATATTATAACGTGCATGTAGTGCAACCGAGATGCAGGACGCCAATATTTGTAGATGATGTCATTTGCAAGAGTTACGAAACATCTTCCCGGGACAAGGGCGTTAATTGACTAACAGTCCAGTTTTAGCTTTTATAGTCAGTTAACTCACTTGCCTCGGAAAGATGCGATACAATGGCGCCAGTGTGTATGACCATAGGTTTAAGAGGAATATTGAAATATGGCAAATATTGGCAAACGCTCTGTCAACAAGACCACGGAGACGCTTGACTGTTGGGACGAGTGAGTTTGGTTGAATGCGGATTTGATTTGTTTGTTTGTTGTTTATCGCCGTAATATTCAAGCTATACGATGGAGGTTTGTAAATATTTAAATCTGAACCAGACAATCCAGTGATTGACATTAGCATCGATCTACGCAACTGGGATACGATGACATGCATTAAACAAGTCAGCAAGCCCGACCAACCGAGCCCGTTAGTCGCCTCTTACGACAAGCATGGGTTTCTGAACTCGGATCTTCACGGGTGCGATGTGGCTTTTGGCAGAATTAGAGGTGTATCACACATGTCTGCTTGAAAGATGGAGTGAGTGAGTATGGTTTTACGCCGCTTTTAGCAATATTCCAGCAATATCACGGCGGGGACACCAGAAATGGGCTTTACACATTGTACCCATGTCGGGAATCGAACCCGGGTCTTCGGCATGACGAGCTACTGCTTTAACCACTAGGCTACCCGACCGCCCCTTTTGAAAGATGGAAGAGATGCAAATGATGCAAACTACAGTGAAACACACCCGCCAGCTCTAGCTTGCAACTGACAAAGAATCATAAGGATGGCAGCACTGGGATTTCGAACCGTGTACAGTGTTAAAACAACGATGAGAAATCAAGTGTTCCTGAAGTTTATTATAAGTGCTACAAGAACCCAAATCAATTTGAAATATTTCAGTGGTTCTAATCACTTCTATCCTTGTATCGGCTAACGTTTTTGTGAGCGTCGTATACACAAGTAAGGTAAAACTCTTTATCCTGTGCCGTCAGGATCTTGTTCACGTGCTGAAGCCTGACTTGGATTGTCCACGTGTGGGTCTTGTGTAGGTGCTGGATGGGAAAATAAACAGTAGTTCTGGTAGAGATACTTGGATATTACTACCGATTAAGGGTGAGTGAAGTTTGTTAAACGCCGCACTCAGCAATATTCCAGCTATATGACGACGGTCTGTAGATAACCGAGTCTGGAAAAGACGAACCAGTGATTGATAGTATGAGTGAGTGAGCGAGCATGGTTTTACGCCGCTTTTAGCAATATTCCAACAATATCACGGCGGGTAAACACCAGAAATAGGCTTCACATATTGTACAATGTCGGGAATCGAACCCGGGTCTTCGGCGTGACGAGCGAACGCTTTAACAGCTGGACTACCCGACCGCCCTGATTGACAGTATGAGAAACTCCTCTGGGCGGTTCTTGCAATTATGAGGCACCGAGAAGGTATGACATTTAGCCAGTTCTTTTACGCCAGTTTTAACAATAGTAGTGTCATGTCATGGCGCCTTCATTGATTATGGTTTAGGCCACTTTTAACAATATTTTAACAATTTTTAAGCAACATTTCAGCAATATCACGACAGGAAACCAGAAATGGGCTTCCCGCATTGTACCCATGCGGGGAATCGAACCCGGGTCTTCAGCGTGACGAGCCAACGCTTTGGCCAGTGGGCTACTCCACCGGATCTCCAAGCAGATTACAAAAAGTAATACATTATAACATAGGTGATGCAGGATATCAAGGAGATCAGACTTGTACTGCAACCAGAAAATTGGTACGCATGGTACAAAGTATAGATCAGTCAGCTAAACTTAAATGCCTCAGTTATTAATGTTTCACTTTGCAGACAACCTTCCTGGTATGTGACGGCTGCCGATCAAGCAGCATTCCACTCCATGACGTCAAAGGGCGACCAACTCGTTAATCCGGGACAAGCCGATTGGATGGGTGAGTGGGCGACGGAGGGGTGGGGGAGGTTACTAATGGGGATTCCGGCCAAAAAAGGTCCAAGTAAGGATCCCCGGGCAAAAGAGGTCCAAGTAAGGATCCCCGGCAAAAGAGGTCCAAGTAAGAACCCCGGGCCAAAGGAGTGTGAGTGTTCGTTCTGCACCTCGAAATTTATTTACCATGAATCCACACTCCTTCCGGTGGTTGATGTCTAGAAGCACAAGCCCCGCCTGGCCTACATGTTCTGCCTGGCATTTCTCCTGCTTAACGCCGTTCTTCAAGGCATACATCATGCGCGCTTCTCCAATGTACGTGACGTTCACCTTTTCTGTGCGGGAGTCCTTACCGCAGTGTATTTTTACTGTGTTTACGGCAAACAAAAATATATTAATGACAACATATTACATGGCCAGAAATGGGTTAAGGCTGCCAACAATATACCCACTAAGCGGTGATTACAGAAATACAAAGAACGATGACATGCATCAACCAAGTCAGCATTCCTGACCACCTGATCCCATCCTCCCAAGGCAAGGGAGTTAACTGACTGTAAAAGTGACCAGATCCCGTTAGCCGCCTTTTTACGACAAGCATGCAATTAGCTTTGCTAATGGATGGTAGTGCATGTATAATTGTATAGACGCATGACCCATATTACAGCAGTTCGTAACGAGAGACGAGTGATTAAGACGTCCTGTTCAGAGCAGTATGTAACCGTACTTCTGTTTAATCACGACGTGTTAGCTTGACGTGGAGGAAATCCTCGAGCTGTGTTCAGTTCCACAAAACGATCTTAGCGCTGCGATTGTCGTAAGTCTATGTTAAAGTATGAAAGTTACGAGTAACATCTTAGCGCTAAGATCGTTTTGTGGAACGGGTCCAAAGACCTTACGTTCACCGATTTCTGAAACCCACTCACATTGTCGTTTAGCCTTGTACCTCGGACTCGCTGGCACGAACTGAAACAGTGAAACGGATTATGTTCAACATGTGTAATAATTAGTTGTTATATGGACACGTTTACCACCGGAGGAAAGCCACGAGCACGGGTATCACCGATTTGACCAAAACCGATCAAAATTCGAGATATTTGCACTTCTGTTGAGACCTGATTGTATGCACGTCCGTGTGTGCGCCTGATTGTATGCACGTCCGTGAGTGCGCCTGATTGTATGCACGTCCGTGTGTGCGCCTGGTTGTATGCACGTCCGTGTGTGCGACTGATTGTATGCACGTCCGTGTGCGCGCCTGATTGTATGCACGTCCGTGTGCGCGCCTGATTGTATGCACGTCCGTGTTTGCGCCTGATTGTATGCACGTCCGTGTGTGCGACTGATTGTATGCACGTCCGTGTGTGCGCCTGATTGTATGCACGTCCGTGTGTGCGCCTGATTGTATGCACGTCCGTGTGTGCGCCTGATTGTATGCACGTCCGTGAGTGTGCCTGATTGTATGCACGTCCGTGAGTGCGCCTGATTGTATGCACGTCCGTGTGTGCGACTGATTGTATGCACGTCCGTGTGTGCGCCTGATTGTATGCACGTCCGTGTGTGTGCCTGATTGTATGCACGTCCGTGTGTGCGCCTGATTGTATGCACGTCCGTGTGTGCGCCTGATTGTATGCACGTCCGTGTGTGCGCCTGATTGTATGCACGTCCGTGTGTGCGCCTGATTGTATGCACGTCCGTGTGTGCGCCTGATTGTATGCACGTCCGTGTGTGCGCCTGATTGTAATAGTCCGGACAAATGCCCTTTTCACAGAGCTTACCCACCGAGATAACAGGCAGGGTAACAACATGTTTCATCTTTGAACGTCTTCCAATCGAGACGCATCCATCTTCCCGAGGTAAGGGATTTAAGTGACTATAAAAGTCCAGTTTCCACCCTTGCCGATCTAGGCTGGAATTTTCAGGCTCGATCGTAGCGCCACCAATGGCTATTACGAGTTATGTCCCTTGTATGTCCCTCCTATTGACGCGGCGCTAAAAAAACAAACAGTAGGAGCATGTACAACCTCGGTGTGGGTAGGACTGAAGCCCTACAACTATCAGGGGCGGGGTTCTGGGGTCGATGGTCGGGGGTCGGGGTCCGGGGTTCAGGGTCGGGTCCCAGGGTTCTGGGTCGGGTCCCGGGGTTCTTGGTCGGGTCCCGGGGTTCTGGGTCGGGTCCCCTGCTGCACATTTTGCTCATATAAGCCAACTGAAATAAGACCGACGGAGTGGGTTGTTGTTTGTTGTTTAACGCCGCACAGCAATATTCCAGCTATATGACGGCGGTCTGGAAATAATCGGGTCTGGACCAGACAATCCAGTCATTGACATCATGAGCATCGATCCAAGCAATTGGGATCGATGACATGTATCAACCAAGTCAGAGAGCCTGACCACCAGATCCTGTTAGGCGCATCTTACAACAAGCATAGTCGCCTTTTACAGCAAGCATGGGTTGGTGAAGACCTATTCTACCCCGGATCTTCACGGGTCCACCAAACTTAGAGTGCAAATAAATGTCACCATCTCCTTCCAAGGAAAAAACGACTAGCAGATCCTGACACGGGCGAATCGCGGCGGCTGGGAGTTGAACCAATGGACAGCCCATGCCCTTCGTTTCCCACATTATATTCTCGGTTCATATCTATAGTGAAACGACCTACCATGAGCACCAGAACAATGAAGGCCGAGATCTCCATGACTGAACCGGGCACCAGCCACAACCTGATCCTTGCTGCTACCAAGGAGGGTCTGGTCAAAGGCAAAAGAGCGGTAAAGGTACATGGAGGTTAAAGACAAATCAAAACAAGTTGCTGTTAGTTGTTTAACACAGCAATATTCCAGTTATATGGCGGAGGTCTGTAAATAATCGAGTCCAGACAACCAGAGATCGATATCATGAGCATTGATTTTATGCATCGATATTGTTTACATGCATCAACCAAGTCAGCGAGTCTGACTGTTGCCTCTGACAAGCATAGTCGACTTTAACGGTAAGCATCGGTTGCATATCAAAACAAAATAATAGGTGTGCAATGAAACAAATTGTTCAGGCAATTTTCGCATCTCAGAATTGCAACAAACTATCCCGATTTTCATATTATACGCCGTGGTAGGGACTAAGTTTTTTAGGGTATCATACCTCGATTGACGTATTATAAGCCGATATGCTACCCGTTAAACGCCGCTCTTAACAGTATTCCAGTTGCATATCAGCATTAGTTTAATGTGGACATGGGAAGCAAGCATTATAATTTACTACTTTCTTTGGTGGGGAGCAGTCGAAAAAGGATCATGTTTTACTCAAGAAAACTTATAAATGCCGCCTATTGTGGGAAAATAAATTATGTGTCCTTTTGCACTCAATGTGTCAAATGAACACAGTTCATCTTTATTATTATTTAAAAAATGAATTGAGCAATTAGTTTTTGGGTTTAACGCCGATTTTAACATTATTCCAGTTCACGGCGTGTCAGCTAAATGAGGGAGGAAAGCCCGAAGTGTTGTAGGTCTCAGACGTTTACCACTTCGGTGAAACCCACGAGCACGGGTATTGAGCTGACAAACCTAGAAACATAATAGGGGCGAACCGGGATTCGAACCCACAATCATAGGTTTCTGGCGTGCCCAAAGGACGCAACTCTGCACAGCGAATCGCGGCGCCTTAGACGACTGGGCGACCCGTGCCCCCTGAAAACATAATTAAGCTCCTAAACGTTAAAATAATTTTGATATGCAGGTCTTTCATGTTCACCACTTGGTAAAAAGCCACGAGTTTGGGTTGGGTGCCGATAAATACGGTTTCAAGCCGACTGCAGCAATATTCCAGCATTATTTGGGCGGGGATCCAGTTACCAGAACTTGAATCAGAAAAAAATAATATGGCCGACGGAGACAGAAACATTTGGAGGAGACGGCAGTAGCCCTGCAAAGCAATAAGGTTCGACGTGATAACATTTTCTCCCTTTTGATGCAAAGAAACAATAAACAAGAACATATCACACCCTACCTCGTCTCCGCGGTTGTGATTTTACTGTGTTTGGCGATCGACAGTGTCAGTGCACGGGAACTTCGTGCTACCGCAGCACGCTTACCACGTGGGTGTTTTCCTGTCACAAACCACGAACATGTTTCCGGGTATTGCTACCAGTCGCAATGCGTTCTCTTGTATTCCCCGTACAAGTTACGTGAATACATTCCAACAAACCTCAAGCGTTAGAACACCATAATTAATCGGATTTGAATGTTTTATTTGGTTCCTGGATACTTTCTTTTGATCATTTTTTTTCAATAAAAGTTAAAAGTTGAGTCATTTGTTATGAGTTAGTTCGTTCCACGATATGTTGTTCATAGTCCAGGGTCGGCCCAGTCGTCTGAGGCGCCGCCATTCACTGTGCAGAGTTGCGTCCCTTGGGCACGCCAGAAACCGATGATTGTGGGTTCGAATCCCGGTTCGCTCCCATTATGTTTCTAGGTTTGCCAGCACCGTACCCGTGCTCGTGGGTTTCAACGAATTGGTAAACGTCTGAGACCTGCATCACTTCGGGCTTTCCTCCCACATTAAGCTGTTACGCCGTGATATAACTGGAATACTGTTCAAAGCGGCGTTAAACCCAAATCACTCACTCACTCATAGTCCAGGTCTAGTAAACATTCTTTGTGATACTGAGATCCTTGTTTCTGTGTAATTCGGGATCTCTGACCATTTGATGTTTTAAAAATTTGAAAACATAATTATGCTTCAGACAATTAAAAAAAGAGATTATTTGCCGCAAAAAAAATCATTTGTGGAAGGTGATTTTCTTAATATAATATTCAGGCTCATGGCTTGAATTAAAATCCTGTGAAAATCATGAGCATCGATCTATGCAATTGGGATACCATGACATGCATCAACCAAGTTAGCAACTCGCCCTTCCCAACCTCAGTTCCCGGAACGGTTCCGAGTGAGATGAATTGGGTTATTCTAAGGTTTCGAGTGAGATGGCTCAGGTAGATGTGTTTCATCTGATATGACTTTGGGAGGTTTGTTTGTTGGTTGGTTGGTTAACGCCGCACTCAGAAGTATTCCTGATATGTGATGGCGGTCTGTAAATAATCGAGTCTGGACCAGACAATCACGTGATTGACATGAGGAGCATCGATCCAGGTAATGGATAATTGTGTATGCTAGAACTAACACAATGGCTGATTGTGTATCCTGGAACTGACACAATGGCTGATTGTGTATCCTGGAACTGACACAATGGCTGATTGTGTATCCTAGACCGGACACAATGGCTGATTGTGTATCCTGGAACTGACAAAATAGCTGATTGTGTATCCTTGACCTGATACAATGGATGATTGTGTCTCCTAGACCTGATACAATGGCTGATTGTGTATCCTAGACCAGACACAATGGCTGATTGTGTATCCTAGACCGGACACAAAGGGCTGATTGTGTATCCTGGAACTGACACAATGGCTGATTGTGTATCCTGGTCCTGACACAATGGCTGATTGTGTGCCCTAGTCCTGACACGATAGCTAATTGTGTATCCTGGAACTGACAAAATGGCTTATTGTGTATCCTTGACCTGATACAATGGATGATTGTGTCTCCTAGACCTGATACAATGGCTGATTGTGTATCCTAGACCAGACACAATGGCTGATTGTGTATCCTAGACCGGACACAAAGGGCTGATTGTGTATCCTGGAACTGACACAATGGCTGATTGTGTATCCTGGTCCTGACACAATGGCTGATTGTGTGCCCTAGTCCTGACACGATAGCTAATTGTGTATCCTGGAACTGACAAAATGGCTGATTGTGTATCCTTGACCTGATACAATGGATGATTGTGTCTCCTAGACCTGATACAATGGCTGATCGTGTATCCTAGACCGGACACAATGGCTGATTGTGTATCCTAGACCGGACACAATGGCTGATTGTGTATCCTGGAACTGACACAATGGCTGATTGTGTATCCTAGAACTGACACAATGGCTGATTGAGTATCCTAGACTGGACAATATGGCTGATTGAGTATCCTAGACCAGACACAATGGCTGATTGTGTATATTAGACCGCACACAAAAGCTGATTGTGTATCCTAGACCGGACACAATGGCTGATTGTGTATCCTAGACCGGACACAATGGCTGATTGTGTATCCTAGACCGGACACAATGGCTGATTGTGTATCCAAGAACTGACACAATGGCTGATTGTGTATCCTAGACTGGACAATATGGCTGATTGTGTATCTTAGACCAGACACAATGGCTGACTGTGTATCCTAGACTGGACAATATGGCTGATTGTGTATCCTGGAACTGACACAATGGCTTATTGTGTATCCTGGAACTGACACAATGGCTAATTGTGTATCATAGACTACACACAATGGCTGATTGTGTATACTAGACCGGACACAAAGGCTGATTGTGTATCCTAGACCGGACACAATGGCTGATTGTGTATCCTGGAACTGTCACAATGGCTGATTGTGTATCCTAGACTACACACAATGGCTGATTGTGTATCCTAGACTGGACACAAAAGCTGATTGTGTATCCTAGACCGGACACAATGGCTGATTGTGTATCCTGGAACTGACACAATGGCTGATTGTGTATCCTGGAACTGACACAATGGCTTATTGTGTATCCTGGAACTGACACAATGGCTAATTGTGTATCCTAGACTACACACAATGGCTGATTGTGTATCCTAGACCGGACACAAAAGCTGATTGTGTATCCTAGACTGGACACAAAAGCTGATTACGTATCCTAGACCGGACACAATGGCTGATTGTGTATCATGGAACTGACACAATGGCTGATTGTGTACCCTAGAACTGACACATTGGCTGATTGTGTATCCTAGACCTGATACAATGTCTGATTGTGTATCCTAGAACTGACACAATGTCTGATTGTGTATCCTGGACCGGACACAATGGCTGATTGTGTATCCTAGACCGGATACAATGGCTGATTGTGTATCCTAGACTGGACAAAATGGCTGATTGTGTATCCTAGACCGGACACAATGGCTGATTATGTATCCTTGACTGGACACAATGGCTGACTGTGTATCCTAGACCGGACACAATGGCTAATTGTGTATCCTAGACCGGATACAATGTCTCATTGTGTATACTAGACCGGACACAATGGCTGATTGTGTATCCTAGACCGGATACAATGGCTGATTGTGTATCCTAGAACTGACACAATGGCTGATTGTGTATCCTAGATTGGACACAATGGCTGATTGTGTATTCTAGACCGGACACAATGGCTGATTATGTATCCTAGGCTGGACACAATGGCTGATTGTGTATCCTAGACCGGACACAATTGCTGATTGTGTATCCTAGACCGGACACAATGGCTGATTATGTATCCTAGACCGGACACAATTGCTGATTGTGTATCCTAGACCGGACACAATGGCTGATTGTGTATCCTAGACCGGACACAATTGCTGATTGTGTATCCTAGACCGGACACAATTGCTGATTGTGTATCCTAGACCGGACACAATGGCTGATTATGTATCCTTGACTGGACACAATGGCTGACTGTGTATCCTAGACTGGACACAATTGCTGATTGTGTATCCTAGACCGGACACAATTGATGATTGTGTATCCTAGACCGGACACAATTGCTGATTGTGTATCCTAGACCGGACACAATGGCTGATTATGTATCCTTGACTGGACACAATGGCTGATTATGTATCCTAGACTGGACACAATGGCTGATTATGTATCCTAGACTGGACACAATGGCTGATTGTGTATGCTAGACCGGACACAATGGCTGATTATGTATCCTAGACTGGACACAATGGCTGATTATGTATCCTAGACCGGACACAATGGCTGATTGTGTATCCTAGACCGGACACAATGGCTGATTGTGTATCCTAGACCGGACACAAAGGGCTGATTGTGTATCCTGGAACTGACACAATGGCTGATTGTGTATCCTGGAACTGACACAATGGCTTATTGTGTATCCTGGTCCTGACACAATGGCTGATTGTGTGCCCTAGTCCTGATACGATAGCTAATTGTGTATCCTGGAACTGACAAAATGGCTGATTGTGTATCCTTGACCTGATACAATGGATGATTGTGTCTCCTAGACCTGATACAATGGCTGATCGTGTATCCTAGACCGGACACAATGGCTGATTGTGTATCCTAGACCGGACACAATGGCTGATTGTGTATCCTGGAACTGACACAATGGCTGATTGTGTATCCTAGAACTGACACAATGGCTGATTAAGTATCCTAGACTGGACAATATGGCTGAATGAGTATCCTAGACCAGACACAATGGCTGATTGTGTATATTAGACCGCACACAAAAGCTGATTGTGTATCCTAGACCGGACGCAATGGCTGATTGTGTATCCTAGACCGGACACAATGGCTGATTGTGTATCCTAGACCGGACACAATGGCTGATTGTGTATCCAAGAACTGACACAATGGCTGATTGTGTATCCTACACTGGACAATATGGCTGATTGTGTATCTTAGACCAGACACAATGGCTGACTGTGTATCCTAGACTGGACAATATGGCTGATTGTGTATCCTGGAACTGACACAATGGCTTATTGTGTATCCTGGAACTGACACAATGGCTAATTGTGTATCCTAGACCGGACACAATGGCTGATTGTGTATACTAGACCGGACACAAAAGCTGATTGTGTATCCTAGACCGGACACAATGGCTGATTGTGTATCCTGGAACTGACAAAATGGCTGATTGTGTATCCTGGAACTGACACAATGGCTTATTCTGTATCCTGGAACTGACACAATGGCTAATTGTGTATCCTAGACTACACACAATGGCTGATTGTGTATACTAGACCGGACACAAAAGCTGATTGTGTATCCTAGACTGGACACAAAAGCTGATTGCGTATCCTAGACCGGACACAATGGCTGATTGTGTATCATGGAACTGACACAATGACTGATTGTGTATCCTTGAACTGACACATTGGCTGATTGTGTATCCTAGACCTGATACAATGTCTGATTGTGTATCCTAGAACTGACACAATGTCTGATTGTGTATCCTAGACCGGACACAATGGCTGATTGTGTATCCTAGACC